GAGACCCACCCCCACAGCCCGGCCTGGGTGACAGCTTGGAGAGCATCCCTAGCCTGAGTCAGTCCCCAGAGCCAGGGCGCCGAGGTGACCCGGACACCGTGCTTCCAGCTGAGCGCCCGCTGGAGGACCTGAGGCTGCAGCTGGACCAGCTGGGCTGGGCTGCCCGGGGTGCGGGATCAGGGGAGGATTCGGCCACCAGCAGCTCCACCCCACTGGAGAACGAGGAGCCTGATGGATTGGAGGCCATCGAGGCCAACAAAGGTGAGATCTCAGAGGTGGGAGGAGGCTGTGTGGCTCGAGAAGGCGGAAGCTCACGGCCCTCTCTCTCTGTGACACCAGACACGAACCCGCAACTCCGACTTGCTCAGGCTCTACGTTCGCACCTTGAGGTCCTGACTCCTCAGCCTAGCCCCAGCTCCGGGACCCCCCGGGCTCATACCCCATCCCCACCAAGATCGCAAGATTGGAACTCAAACTCCGGTCCTGATGAGCCTCTGCTGAACGAGGAAGGAGAGCGTTGGCGGCCACTGGAGCAGGACGACCCAATCACGGCACAGTGCGGCGATAGCACAGACCAATCAGAATTCGCATTGGAGCCGCTCCTTCTAGGTAAGCATGTTTGTGATCACCTGGGGATGGGGAGATTGACAGGCTTGACACAGGACCCAAGAACAAGGGAGAAGCGAGTCCCCCAAGTCCCCTTTACCAAAGGGTGTGTGGTTTGGGGGTTCTCCCCCACAATGCACATTCACAGTGGTAACTAACTCCAGGGCCTTCTCCACACTGGCTTTGAACGCCACCCACCGGCCTGAGCCTCAGCTGGGATCACAGGCCTGCAGCCACCAGACGCTGTTTCTTCCACTGGGCTGTTTTTTTTCTCTCTCTCTCCCTCTTTCCCGCTCTCTCTCTTTCTCTCTCTCTCCCTCTCTCCCCCTCTCTCTGTGTTTCTCTCTTTCTCCCTCCCTCTCTCTGTCTCTCCCTCTATTTTTTTTCTTTTCTTTTTTGATTTTTCCAGACAGGGTGGGTTTCTCTGTGTGTAGCCCTGGCTGTCCTGGCACTCGCTCTGTAGACCAGGCTGGCCTCAAACTCACAGAGATCCCCTGCCTCTGCCTCCCTAGTGCTGGGATTAAAGGTGTGCCCCACCACCAGGGTCTGGCCCCATTGGCTCTTTCTGTACACAAAATCAGTGCTGAGAGGAACACTGGGGTTGGGAGATGTGAAAAAAAAAATTAATCCTCCCTTTTTCAGAGTGCACTGTCTAGAAGCTGAGTGTGCCCATGGGACTTTAAATTTTTTTTTTAAATTAATCAGGCCTGGCCTGGCAGCGTATACAGTGTGCAGTGTTTTTTTTTTTTTTTTTTTTTTTTTTTTTTTTTTTTTTGTATAAGAAAGGACTTTATTAGTCGGGGTATCTTGGTTATTTTTAAGGCTGGCCTAGTCTGCATAGTAAGCTCTAGTCTAGTTCAGGCTACATAGTTCAGACCGTGTCTCAAGGTTGACCCTGAACTCACAGAGAGCCACCTGTCTAGGCCTCTTGAGTGCTGGAATTAAAGGGTCGGGGTTAAACTGCCTGGTGCTGTTTATTTTAGTTTAGGTGTGTATGGTTTTGCCTGCATGTATATCTATGCACTGTGCACATACTTGGTGCCTCTGGAGGTCAGAAGAGGAGACACATCCCCTATAACTGGAGCTAGGATACTTGTGAGCTAACGGGTGGGAGCTGGGGACTGAACCCAGGACTTCAGCAAGAGCCCTGAGTGCTCCCCACTGAGTCGCTCTGCAGTCCCTCACAGGACAACTTTTAGGAGTCCATCTTCCATCTTCACCTTTCACCTTGTAGAGGCAGAGTCTGTGTGGAGCGTGAGGGTGGTGGTGTAGAGCGTAGGGTAGGGGTTAGAACCCACGGCATAGCCGAACTCACAGAGATCCGAGGCAGAGACTCTCATTTCTGTTGCTACATTGCCTACTCCAGGCTAGGCGGCTGAGAGCTTCCAGGCAATTCTGCTGTTGCAGCCTCTCATCTCATAGAAGTGGTTGGGATTGCCGAGGCTCAACACCCAATCCAGCTCTTTCCCTGGGTTCTGGGATCAGACGCAGGACGTCGGGCTTGCACTGCAAATTCTTTTATGCGCCGAACCACCTCCACCCCCGACCCCGAGCCTTTACAAAACCTTACTTTTGGGCTAAAGAGATGGATTAGCTGTTATAAGCAGTTACTTTACTTTCGGAGAGCAGGAGTGTGGCCCAGCTGCTGCTCTAGCTTCTGAGATCTGATGCCCTTGTGGCGTCTTTTGTCACCTGCACTCATGTGGGCATACTCACACAAAGATCCACAACACACGAAACAGATTTCCTCTTGCCAAGTATGGTGGCGGACGCCTGTACTCCCAGCACTTGGGAGGCGGAGATGGGAAGATTGGGAGTTCAAGGCCAGCCTGGGCTACATGAGACACTGTGTTAAAAAACAAAACCAATAACAAACAAACAAAAAAACAAGGGGGCTGGAGAGACGGCTCAGCGGTTAAGAGCAAGGATCGATCTTCCGAAGGACCCAGGTTCAATTCCCAACGCACACACATGGCAGCTCACACCTGTCGGTAACTCCAGTTCTAGGATCTCTGACGTCCTCACACAGGGATGCATGCAGGCAAAACACCAATGCACATATAAGATGAAAAAAATTAAACAAAACAAAACAAAAACCCCCCAGACTAAACTTTTACCCAGGCTAGGCATGATGGGGAATGCACACCTTTAATCCCAGCACTCTGGAGGATTAGACAAGTGCATTTTGGTGGATTCCAGGTCAGCCGGGGCTTCACAGCAAGACCTTGTCTCAAAAACAAAACAAAACGTTCCGCTTTTCCCACCTAACTGGATCCATTCGTTGGTCTTTGGCACCCTCCGCTTTAGTTTAAAAAGCCTGGGCCTCCAGGAACCGCAGGCAGTTGGTTCAAGAGGACTCCTTGTCTATTTACAAAGTTCCAATTTGGGAACTGTCCCCACCTCTCTGGACAGCCATTGGTC